CCCGCCCCATGCCAGGTGAGGCGGGAAGGCGCCGTGTCCCGCCGTGAAGCCCCCACTCCGGGGCGCGGGGGGGGTGTGTGTGTGTGGGGGGGGGTGCTGCTGCTCTCGCCGCCCGGCCGGAGCTCGCCGTGGGGCGCCCCGCGCTGCCGTCCCCCGCGGTGGGGACTCGGGGTGGCGAGGGGAAGAAGAGGAAGGGCCCTGCCCCGGGGAAGGCTCGGTGTGCGGCACCTGCCCGCTGCGCAGCCGCGCTCGGCGGGGGCAGCGCCGGAGCCGTCCGGGCAAGAGGGTCCCGCGGGGTTTGTGAGGTAAAAGTCGGCTTGCAGGCGTTCGCCGGGAACTGGCTGTAGCGGTGGTACCTCGGGGTGACAGATGCGAAGGGTTCCCCGTAGGAAAAAAGGAGAGGCGGGCAGGAGAAGGTGGCATCCCCTGAGCCCTCACAGAGATGTGCGGCGTGCTGAAGGGGTAGGGCTGTAGCCGGGGCGATGGCCGGCTGCGCCTTCCAGGGAATGCCGGCCGCTCCATTCATTGGGAGGGCAGACACACACAGGGAGAGGCAATTACGTGGCTCACGGCTGCTGAGTGCTTCGGGGCAGAAGTGGCATCACGTTAAAAGTCACTTTGTCCAGCTGTGGACGCGTACGGAGGGTTGGAAGAATGGGTCAATGAGATGAGGTTATATATATATACACACAGGAGGGAGAGAGGAGTTTGTGTGATGGCAATGAAAAAGGCACTGAAAAGTACCCCAGGTACTCAGAACCAGCACCTAGTGAGATCCCATTATCCTACAAGGAATTTCAGCTGAACGTTGTGCTCCAAAGTAAAGATGCAGCTGCTGGTGTGCTGTATGTCGTGTAAAGTGGTGCGGTCCCTATGCCAGCTACCGAAATATCGTGGAGAAAATAATAGCATGTATAGTCTGTATGTCTTTCGGGTTTTATTATTAAGGACATTTATTTACATAAAAAGGAGCTTTGTCGTCCAGAATTCCTCTTCCCTGCACTTGATGTCATGTTTTACTTCTGGCATCAAGAATAACCCCTGAATAAGCATTACAAGAATCAGACGAGACAGAGATTCTGGTTTTAAATATATAGTTGCTTATAATGAGAGTTCTGTTTATGGCATTTCATGAAGTAAATGAAAATATTTGTAGTTGATAAATATTATTTCCCCAATACTTACTAATTCTTGGTTTATTCATAGGAGTTATGCTGCAGAGGAGGGGGCTGTTGTGGCTTGCTGTCTTGATAACCCTGTGGGTTTCCTCAGATGCTCAGGGTAAGTTCTGACACTTCTTAACTAGATACAGAGTAAAGCTAAAAGTTGGTGTAGAACATTGGCTTACCTGAACTACAGTGGGAAAAGTCATCAGATATGGTTTTCGTAGAAGTGCCTGGAATAGTAGTTGCTGGGGGTATTTTTGGTAGATACATCTTACCACTGCTAAATGAAGATTCCCCAATAAATATCCAAAACCTGCTTTCTTTAGAAATTATTGGTCAAAATGTACAGAGTCTCAGAAATAATTGCTATTATACTTTCCTCTGCAGTGGAAATGTATGGTGAAATTTACATAAACAGACTCACTGAATGGGGTGAACATTTTAAAAAGATAGAGAAATAGACATCTACAGACTAAATATAAGTAAACTGGCACAGTGCCAGACCCTCATTTACATTTGACTTCTTGGCCTGAATCTTTAAAAAGCAAATCTCTTGCTTCCTGTTGTCATGTGGCCACGTCGCTTCTCATAATTTGATTTTTATTAGCTGATAGTCAAAATATAGATGTTGGCTCAACTTCCTTATCCCTTCATATATATTAAAAATATTTAATGAATACATTGTTACGTGCATCCATGTGTAGGCAGATACATGACATACAGCATGTATGTATATATATATACAAGTGTGTATTATGTAGTGCTATAAAATGTATAGCCATATGTTTAGTTATATAATCAACCTACACACATAGAAGGAGAGAGTTGTCATGTAAATGAAAATGGCAGGTGGAAAATATGATTCACTTGCATGCTAGTAGGAACAGTTCTGTTTGTGGAAGTAGGAGAGTACTGGGTTTACTCTGCTGATCACCTGTCATACAATTGAAGTTATGAAGTATAGCATGCAGAGTTGTTTCTTGTAAGACTTTTTGTAGACACATTGTCACACACTGTTAACTTTTTCAGATGGTGACAAGGAAGAGGAGATTACCTTTGATTTACTTCAAATCAGTAACATAAACCGAAAGACAGTTGGAGCAAAATTGTTTCGGGGTCCAGACCCCGCTATCCCAGCATATCGTTTCATTCGGTTTGACCACATACCGCCATGTAAACCAGAGAAATTAAAAAAGATTGTCAAACTCATACGGCAGAATGAGGGCTTTATCCTTTCAGCCACCCTGAGACAGGACAGGCAATCTAGAGGCACTATCCTTGCTTTAGAGGGTCCTGGCATCAGTGAGAGGCAGTTTGAGATCATTTCCAATGGCCGGGCCAACACCCTGGACCTTATCTATTGGGTGGATGGCTTCCAGAACGTGATTTCCCTGGAAGACGTGGACCTCGCTGACTCACAGTGGAAGAACCTCACCGTGCAAATAACAGGCGAGAACTACAACCTCTATGTCGGCTGTGATCTTATTGACAGCTTCATCCTGGAGGAGCCTTTCTATGAGCAGCTGAAAGCAGAGAACAGCAGAATGTATGTGGCGAAAGGGTCCATTCGGGAGAATCATTTCAGGGTAGGTAAGCTGGAGAAACTCGGGTCTCTGGTGAGGTAGGAAAGTAACTGCAGGTAGCTGGAGAAGATGCAATAGGTGCAGTTTTGTTCTCCCAACGCCTCTTGGATTTGACGAGGTCACAGGTGTTCCCAACCAGAATTTCTCCAGACTGTATTTTTATTCATTACTGGTTTTGTGTTGTGTGAATTTGGGGTTCCTGGAAGCAAAGGACTGGTAAAGCAAGGTCTAGATCCAGGAAAAGTGCACAAAACCAGTCTATGGGCTTTCCTATGCAACCATCCACTTTCTTTTCCAGATGTAAGACTTCTAAACATGTTGCATTTTTGTGGTGATTTGTAGAATTTTTTTGAGATTTCTTGAAGAGCTATTTTTTCCATTGAAATCTATCTATTCAAGTCATAAGAGCCTGTCAGTATCCTTAAATTTTATTTGAAAGAGGAAGGAAAAAAAAGAATTTTTAATGGAGCTGAAGCATGTGGTGTTGGTCCATCCCCTAACAGAATATCTTGGTTTGCCATTCTGAATAACCTTCTGTTTCAATTTAAAAAAAAAAAAAAAAAGAAAGAAAAAATTGAAAAAAAATTAGAACAAAATGTTTTGATCAGTCGTGTAAATGAGATTTTTTTTTTCTTTTTGTGGAAACCATTTATTGTTTCCCTTTTGTTTTAAAATGAAGCAATCACAAACTTTCTGGTTTTCCTATAAAATGAAAATTAAGTCCTGCCTGATATAGTGATGTGATCTAGCCCAAGTGCTTTGAGAATGGCTTCTTTTCACTCAGAGCTGAAATCAGACTTGAACTCATGGCTTCAAAAATTTCAAAAAGCCCTTTCTTCCTCATCCTGTTGTGCCATCTAGTTGTCAGCCAGAGCGTGACATGCTGAAGTGTGGTTCCATGGGGTGACCAGTTTTGGCAGGGAAGCTAAAAGTTCTTGCCCATGGTCTCTCCTTTCCTGCCATCAGTTGTGCTCACAGAACTGGTTCTGGAGCTGTACTGTTAAGTGGGTCACTGAAATAATCTGTTTTTAAAGTAATTTTTTTCTTCTTTGGGTTTTTTTCTAAGTGAAACAGATACTAGTCTGTTTTTATAGCGTTGTCTCAGGGTAGTGTCAGCGCAATTGAGGAGGCAGTGAAGTATGGTGCATGGGAATGGCTGGATAAGGATGGAAGTGCGATGGGGCAGGAACTTCAAAAGTTGGCTTTGACCTCATGACGAATGTCTCATAGAACCAGTCTAAAAAGCGCGCTATGAAAATGGAGATTTGAGCTCATAGCTGATTAATAACTTTTATTATGACTTATTTCAGAACATAACTAATTTTGTTGCTTATTGAAATTGTATAAAACAAAACTATAAACACATTTTTTTTTTCAGTGTGTGTCAGTTTTAATGCCTTATAGATTGCTTTTTGCATATTTACTTATGGCTGAATCCAGTCAGTAGCGTGGGATTGAGACAGATCAGTTATTAGTTACTCCCAAATTGATCTAAATGTTTTTTAATTATTTTTTTTATTATTATTACAGGGTCTTTTGCAAAATATTCAGTTAATCTTTGATACTTCAATAGAGGATGTTCTGCGTAAAAAAGGATGCCAGAGAAGCCAGTCAAGTAAGGCTTTTTTACCTCATTAATACCGTTCAGTTGACTCTGAAAATGAGAAATGTCAATGGTGACATATTATCCTGAAACCATGCAACAGATCCCTTTGAAATGCAAAAGAAAATGAGTTGCTTTTTGGTGGTAAAAAGAACATACTTTTTACCTATGTTGAGGTACCATTTCTATTCTCTAGCCTACTATTTTAGTTCTTATTGCTTAGGTTTAGAACTCTGAGCCTCTGTTTATAAGTTGGGAGGAAAGCTGTCAAGCAAGAAGTTAATAGAAATAGAAGGAAAAATGCGTATGTTTGAAAATGTCTACATTCTTTCCATGAGATGTCCATGATTCTTTGAGCACAAGACTGGTAATGTTGCTTATGAATTCTGCTCCTGACTCTCAATGGGCCCATGAACAAGTCTGCAAGTCTTAAAAGACACTGAATTCCTCAGCAGTAGGAAGTTTGTTGACTGAAAGAGGCTTTGGGTTTGAGTCCCAGAGCATTGTTAATCAAAACAACCTAAGGCAAATAAAAAAATAAAAAGAGGTATGGAAGGCATGTATGTGACAGGCTGACATGTGTTCTTGTTAGTCCAGTTCATGCTGACCTCACCAGGACGGGAGCCCTCTGTGCGTGGGAGTATATTGGATTCATCATGAAAGAGTTATGAAAATTTGTCAAGTATGCACTAAGGTTTTGTACTTGAGCTCACGAGAGGTGCTGGCTATTTTACTTTCCAGTGTTTGTAACTGGCAAGAGCTCAGTCAAGAATCAGAGACAACTGAGTCCATCCAAGGAATGTGGTGGGTGCACAAGGCAGTCAGGACTTCAGGGTTTTATTTGAAACTCCTGCCATCTGAAATGCCATTATTTCTGTCACTTCACTAAAACATATGACGTAGAGCAAATCAGTTAAGCAGACTGTATTCAACCTTTTTCCTTGTTCATGCAAAACCCAGAAATTAAGCAGTAGCAGGTCTTGACTTCTTCAAAGGGGGCCAGAGTACTGAGACTTTGTCATAAAAAGTCTCTGAGATATGTAAATGTGTGTGTATATATGTATGTATATATCTGTTAGGGGTGTGTATATATGTATATGCACAAAAAATTTAACTGAGCTTGCTAGTCTGTTTTTAAATCTTCCTAAAGGATATTGGTTGGTTATTTCGTATGTTCCAGAGCTGCGCCCGGGTGCAGGACCTCAGACACAAGTGTGACAATGTGTTAGAAATGAGTCATGTGGGCTGGAATAGAAGTGGCCTTAGATGGCACAGGCAAGAAAGCGTGTCCTCATTTTTTGATTGTCTTCTCTCCCAGCCAAGCTGTTTTCTGTACTTGGAGACTACTCAGAACTATTGATCACTAGTTTTCAGCTTCGTTAGTGGGATAAAATGTTTTAGGAGCAGAACAGCTGTGGGAAAATAGAACATATATTTAGGTCTAATTGTAATCTGAATAAAAGAGAAGGATGATTTCAGGAAGGATGCAGTTCAGCTATCCTGCTTCATTTACTGGTGGAAAGAAAATTCCCAGAAGTAGAGGTAGAACCTTGAGGGCACATTCAGCAGTCAGACGCAGAACAGTCTCAGTCAGGAGGATGGGATCCCTAGGTGTAGACAGATTGAACCAGCAAAACCAATGAAAGACAGTGTCTACAAATCTTTTATATTATTATTGGTTGATTACCACAAAGGGAAACAATGTGACCAAGTGTTTTGAAATATCACCGAGTAGAAATGGGATGTTACTGTACTTCTACTGTGAAGAGGAAGCCAATGGGAGCCTGAAGGGATAATTGAGTTCTGCATGCTGAGACATACCTTAGGAGGAATTCTTACACCCTTCAGCTGTTGCAGCTGTAACCAACAGATAATACTTGCTTAATGTATTTTTATCACATATGTCAACTACCAAGTTTTCAGGTCCAATACATTATACAGATTAGGGGTTTTTGTTTTATCCTTACTGGGAAGTATTTAGCAAATAGTTCAATTCACAGTATCTTTACTTCTACTTTGCAACACCAAGAGAAATCTACAAGATGGAAATTACTTGTCCAACAACAGAAGAGGGCTAATAGCACACTGTGGCTTGAGGCCATCAAAATTACTTGAGAGGCTTGTTACATGCATGGCTGATTTTCTGGCATTGCCTATCCAGCTTAATTACCACAGCTGAAAAGCCATGGGCGATATGTTACTGACCACAAGGTACATATTTTCCCATTTTGATGGCCCACTCGTTGAGCTGAGGCACAGGCACTGTGGTGCCATGTTTATGTGTGAGTGTCCCATAACAACATGGCAGATGTTACCAGTGAAGTGCCCTCAGCTCTGAGGACACAAAAAGCCTGTTGCTTTTTCAGACACAGGACTGTGTTTTCCTTCTGTATCTTTAATCCTAGTATGAGAATGTGAGGTGTGGTGAAATGGTAGCTTGGGAATTGCTGTTGGGTTGAGAGTGGGAAAGGATCTCTGTAGTGTGGTGGCTGCAAATACTTTAGGCAGAAATTACACACAGTGCTGGATAGGAGAGATGGCAAAAACATGCCTAAATAGGCACATCAATAAAATCCCTTCTTCAGCTAGATCAACAGAATGACATTTGCATATGTGAAAGGATGCACATTCTGCTCTTCTGGTTTCTCATTTTAAAGATAATCATGTGGTCCTTAGGAAATTAGCAGGAAGCCAGCAGCAGAGGACTGATTTCCCAGTGATCCCCAGGCATCTTCTTTCAGTCACTGCCAAGTACCAGTAGGAAGTGTGGATTTAGTTCTTCTAACATAGTTTTGGTTTATGTTTCCTGCTGAGATTGCAGCTTTATTAATGTCCTTAGAATGTTCCGGTCAAGGCACACTCCGTGTTGGCTTGAAAAATATGAAATTAATGACCTGAGAAGTGCTATGGGGGAATCTGAGAAACCTAGTGTTTCAATGTGGTAGGAAAATTGCATTCTTTCCAAGGAATCAAAAAGCAGCTGAAGTAAACAGTTATGACACAGAGTTCTGATCTGCTATGTGGTATATTGGTTTTCTCCTGTCCTGTAAGTGAAGCTGGACAATTACTTCAACTCTGGAATACTGCAAGCAATTTTTTGTAGACCTTGGCTAGTGGCAGATACTTCATAGCTAATTTAAAAGCACATCAAGCCAATCATTTTATGTATGGTTGAGAAGTAATTACTTAATGTCATCTTACGGGTTGGTTCTTTGTTCTTTTATTTTCAGCCTTCTAAATGAATGAAGAATACTTTGCTCCCATTTTCATTGCTTGTACGTTTAAATATTACACTTTACATTGTATAGTCAAGCATCAAATCAAGCCCTCAAAATTTTTAAAGTGTTGCCACCTTCTGTGACTTGTCAACACTGAATGGTATTGGCATGTTTTGAAACATATGTTTTATGGCACACGTTCCTGTGCTGATTTCTTCTTTTTAAATTGCTATATCCTTTGCTTCTCCTTTCTGTTTGGTAACCTTGAGTTATTACAACATTACTAAATCTGGTAAACAAATCTTTATTGAGAGGCAGGGCAGTATGGATTTCTGTATAGCTGATACCAAGTTTGAGTGTACCATGGAGTCCTTAAAGAAAGCTTCCATGGAATCCATAAGGTATTTATCTGGTGGAGATTTAAATGCTTAACAGACCACAGACTGTTTTATTTAGTTATCTATGTTCTTTTTTTATTAATTACTGCTGATGGTCTTTGTTGTATTCTTTTTCAAGAATTTGCTATATGGACAGGGGCGTGTTTTAAACTGATATTAGAACATGTCCAGTTCTCCCTGTATAATGCACACAAAGTTCTGTTTTAATTATGATCTGCCTGATGGAGGAGTGTTTGAAGTGACAAATCAAATATTCAGCCCAATCTTAGCTTGACCTCCATTTCACTTCAGAATTAAACTATCATTATAACAGCTCCTCTGAGTTTTAACACCAGGCAGTGCAACATAGAGCAACCCAGAGTCTGGTATAAATTGCATAATGGTCCGAATTTGATGCAAGTACCCATGGAATTTATGGGCAGAACACAGACAATGCCTTTCTGCAAGTAAACTCTTTCCCCTGCCTTTTTCTCTGCATCGAGCAAATGTGATAGGTCATGTAAAAATCTGAAACCTTTCATGGCTCTGAATGGATAAAATAGGTTTGCTTTTTTGATACTGTGTCCTTTTGTTATGCCTTCTTCATAAATTAATGTGTTGCACTGCCAGCAATGTTTTAAAGTGAGGGCCGTGTGAGACACAGCTTGGCTCTTAATTTTGAAAAGGGAAAGCCTATAATTGGAACCAGCTGACATCTAACCCCTCTCTTTTATTCATGGGTATAATCTAGCATGAAGCCATGCCAAAATAGATGTGTTTAAACCCTACCCATGGGTGCCAATCTGTGATTTCAGCAGGAATCTGTAATCTGTGGAAGAACTTTGTATATGCCGCTCTTCTCTTTCCCTCTCCTGCTGCCAGCTGAAGTGAACACCATCAATGAGAGCACTGAAATCCTTCACTTGAGCCCTGCTGTCACAACCGAGTACGTGGGTGAGAAATCAGAGAAGGCCGAGTTCTGCGATCGCTCCTGTGAAGAGCTGGGAACGATGTTCACGGAGCTCACTGGCTTGCGCATCGTGGTGAACAACTTAGCTGATAACCTCCAAAAAGTGGTAGGTACCTGTAAGTCTGACGAACTGAAAGAGGTCTGCTGTGCAGTGCTCTTTCCTTCTTTGTTTCATACCAGAGGCAGTTAATAGATATTTCTGTATTGCATGTGTATACCTGTTGGTATATCTACATAATGTAGAGATGACCTACATTTTCAAAGTGACATTAGGTAGTTCTTGAGTATAACACCTTAATGAAGGCTTGGTTTTCACAGGCTGGGTTCAAAAGAGCACACACACATGCACTCATACACAGGGGAGATCAATCCTCTTAAAGGTTACTGCAGGTTTGGGAATCGAAAGCTGACAAACCCAACCTTGGCTGTGTGCTGTTAAAGCATTATTGCCATGCTTATACCATTTACGAATACATCAGGGTACCTAAACTGTAAGTAAATGTATGGGATTTTCATCATAGAGGTATGATGGTGACATTTCAGTGAACTCTGCCCCTCTTCTTGTTCTGAATCAGTTAATTCTTTCTGAAGGTAGTTTATTACTATGCCATATGTCTCAGGACTAAAATCTTCCCATCTAAAGATGAGCTGTACTAACAGAAAGCAAAACTGCGAAGAACATATTTCCCTTAGTATTATGTGACTGTGTTTGTAATAGTATCTGAAGAATTGCTGTGCAGCATTGTGGTACCTGGTATCATCTTCTTTATGTACATAAATATGTAAAAATACACTTTTTTTTAATGGAAGAATTAAATCCAGTAGTGTCTCATTTAAGTGTTTATTTAAAACTGTTTGCTTACAAAGTACGCAATTTGTTTTCATTTACTTCATCTTCTAGTCTGAAGAGAACCAAATTATGTGGGAATTGATTGGGCCTAACAAAACACTGAAGAACCAGTCGGTTTGCTGGCAGGATGGCCGTGTCTTTGCAGATAATGAAAGCTGGATTGTAGATAGCTGTACCAAGTGCACCTGCCAGGTGAGGTTTTGGAAACATCCTCCTTCTCTGCAGGAATGGGTAGTGGGTTTAATCCAGCCCAGCTGTCCAGGTCAGGTCACATTTACTCAGAGCTTCGCCTAGTCTTACTGATATTTATAAAAAGTAGTTCCCATGTCCACGACAGTTAGAACAAATGAAGGAGTTTCCACACATGAAACTTCCCCAGATTCCCACCTTTATTTGCCTCTGTATGTGAGCCTAAGTCAGTAAGCTGATTTCTCTGCCTGTAGGATTCTAAAATTGTGTGCCATCAAATCACCTGCCCAGCAGTCTCCTGTGCTGATCCATCTTTTGTTGAAGGCGAATGCTGTCCAGTCTGCTCTCACTGTGAGTATTTAGCCAAAGAGAAAGATACTCTTTGGCAATATTTAAAATCACTACTAGTGTGTTGGAAATGTCAAAATGTGTAAGAGGTCAAGGCAGGTAAGATCAAATATAAAACTTACAGGTATACAAAGATCATATGAAGTAACTTGGCTGCTTGAAGTTACGTTCTGGAAGAGTTGGTGTCTCTTCAGTGATTATATTGGTTGCTTAGAAGTAAGCTGATAATTTGCCTAGCTAAGTGGGACACTAAAGGTTAGATGCATGCACCTCCCCAGTCATGTATTCCAAGGCTGGACATTCTGATTTTTGTTGGTTTGCAGTAGCACTGTGCACTATTGTTTCTTTTCCATACTGCCTGGTTAAAGCAGATGAACATAGGTTAGGATGTTTCCTTGTGGAAGACGGTTAAGTTCCAGATGAAAAGTTTCATGCAGTTTGATGCAATATTTATTACGAGTGCAAGGTTTTTTTCCCTCTCTGTTATTGTCATTCTGTTACTCTGTTTTATTTCTTCTCCATCATATATCCTCCTTTGGTGTAATGCTTTACTTACAAACCTTGACAATCCCTTCCACATTTAAGACAGCATTGCAGTCTGTGAACTAGACTTTGGACTGACGATAGGTTTAATGATTTCACTGATTAAGTGACTTCAGTGTGGGTTCAGTACATTTCACTCCATAGTAGAAAGGTCTGTTAAAGAAGAAAATGGTTGCTTAGATGTTCTGAATAAAAATGCATTGGAATATACTCAGAGGTTTTTTGCCTATTCAAAGCATAGGGCATGTTCTTTTACAGTGTGCTTGTGATCATGTTCAGAATTATGTTGTGTTTAGAGGTGGGGCCGCATCTCATCATATTGACCTATATTCTGAATTCAAAGGCAGTTGGGACTTGAGTTTTTGGCTCAGTCCATTCTTCAGATAAGGTGTTCTTCTTCCTCCAAAGGTCAGTGCCTCGTGCAAACACACTGCGCACAAGTTCATGAAGATCCAGGACTCTTATCCAGGCTAACCTCTCATTACATTAAACCATAATTCCCTAACTGCAGTGGCAGCTTGGGGAAGGAAAATTAGAAAAAGAGAGATCTAAAGGACAAAGTACATGTTCTACAGAAAAAGAGAAGTGAAAATCTTCTGAATAGGATAATAGACCGACTTTCAATGCTAAGCACTTTTTCTTACCTTTTGCTCTGCAGCTGATGACAGTGAGGAAGGCTGGTCACCATGGTCAGACTGGACAAAGTGCTCAGTTACCTGTGGCTCTGGGACTCAGATGCGAGGAAGGTCGTGTGATGTCACCAGGAGTGCTTGTACAGGCCCGCACATCCAGACAAGGATGTGCAGCTTTAAGAAATGTGACCATCGCAGTAAGTAGTAAAATTTGTCCCTTTTTTAAAGCTTCTTTGGACATCTCTAAGCAAAACCAAGCTTAGTCTGGATTTCCTGTGAATGCTCACTGGTCAGGACAGTATGTATTTGAACACTCATATGTGCATAATTAAAGTAGCTATCATTAGATTCTTTGTCATCACCCCCCTTTCAAATATTTCTCCTTTTCCTGGCCATTTAATAGGTATGTGCATTCTGGGCTCAGCTCTCTTAAACAAAAAGATAGTGGGTAATCTTTAACATTATGAGCTGGAGTCTCTTGTTTGAAGCCACTTTGGAGACAACACTCAGTTCATAATCACGATACATAGGGCCATGTTTTCATCTGCCATTCCTTCATGATTGGCCCATTCCATTAGCTTAGTAGTGTTTAGGAATACAGTAATCGTAGAAGACTTTTGCAAAGTATCAAACTGCTTTTATATTTAAGGCATTTAGAAGGGTCATACTCTGTCTTCAGAACTGTAGTTAATACTATTGCAGGTAGCTGCTATATCCAGGCTACTTTAGTACCTAAGGCTATTGCTGAAGCTGCTAGATGTCCAAATATGCGTTTTAAACAAGTGTTTGTTTCATTGGAACAAGTTTAGTTTTAAGTAGAATATCTAACATCCATGTTAGTCATATGTTAGTCACTGAGGTTCTTAAGTAAGCTGTACTTGAATGCCTGAGCTGACATGCTGGGCTTTGTAAGTGACAGTGGTAGAAAAGAGATGAGACATGCATCAGATGTAGTGAGAGGCTTATTAGAAAGTTAACTTCACAAGTGAGTTTGTACTACTGCTGCAGGTGGGCTATTTCCTTGAGTTTTGCTCTTTTCTCTGACAGTACGTCAAGATGGTGGCTGGAGTCACTGGTCTCCCTGGTCTTCCTGTTCAGTTACCTGCGGAGTTGGAAATATCACCCGGATCCGCCTCTGCAATTCCCCTATCCCCCAGATGGGTGGGAAAAACTGTGTGGGAAGTGGGCGTGAAACAGAGAAGTGTGAGAAGGTTCCATGTCCAGGTACGTCTGTGGTCCAAGGTGATGCAATAATATTCCAGCTGAATTTCTTCTCTTTATTCATATCTAAATTACAGTGAATTTCTATGACAGAAGATATAATTTGTAGCTTAGGGGTGAAATAATACACAAGGGTGCTTTTAAAATGAAGACAATGAGGCAGTTGGAGGTTTCGTAAACCTCCCAAGTTATGATTTGGCTTTTAACATTCAGAGTTTGAGAAATTTTCATTTTATAACTTAGTGATTTATCTCTGCATATCAAAAATATAAACACTTTCTATCTAAAAGGAAGCTGATACTGTACATGTTAGGAATAGACATATAGTCCCCCAATAGCCAGGTTTCTTTGAAAGCATGCATACATATTTTATACATACTCAACACATGTAATTGTTATAATTCTTTCTTCCTCATCTACACTTTTCAACCTTTTTAGAGACCATTCATTCCACTCACTTTTACTTTCCTTTTATATAACTTTTCCTCACTTTTTTCCCTTTGTATATTTTTCTTCATTCCCTCCTCTGTTTAGCCTTTCCTTTCTACTTACAGGCTATGAGCTTGAAACTGTTGTCAAGCTTCTAACACAATAGTACTTAAATAGCTATACACAATTCATCTATTTTTTGATCTACCTGTGCATGCTAAGTTAGTGAAAAGGTTATTTATTTAAGGACACACACCATTGCCCGTACATTTTTTTTTTTCAGTATCAAGAACAAACATAGAGTTTGGTTCAAAGATGTTTGTATTTCAAGAAAATTCAGGTTTAATGACAACAGGATCAGTAGAGTTGTACCACCATAAAACATGCAGAAGAATCATTGAAATAAGTTATTTATACTGAGTCAAGCAACACTATTGAAGATACACTGATGAATGGATTACAAAACAAGAATAATAGCTGCAACCTTACTGAGCATACAGTTGCCATAAAAAAAGCCACAGAGCTCAGGTTTGGCTCAGCACAAGTTTGTATCCTGTGGTCACACCCTGCTTTGTGTACAAAATGAAAGCTTAGTAGGGAGCTTTGAAGGCACTGTATTTGTTCTGATCAACTTAAATGGAAATACACCATGCCAGTGGGCACGGCATGTTGTTTTGAATTATTGGCCAAAAAATGCCTATAAAGCAGTTGGGTATTTTTTATTTGCTTGTTTGTTTCTGAAATATTGCTATCTCAGTGTAAGGCTTTGCCAGCATCTTTCTTCCTATGTGCATACTGAGAAACTCTCTCCAGTGAGGGATCTGAAGAAACGGTTGTTGTCATTGGCACCAAATGTTGTCCCCAGTCTATTGCCTGTGATACTCTTCTCCTTTCTTCTGCATATCCTAGTGAATGGCCAGTGGGGTCCTTGGTCTCCGTGGTCTGCCTGCACTGTTACCTGTGGAGGAGGAATTCGTGAGCGATCTCGCCTCTGTAACAGTCCAGAGCCACAGTATGGAGGAAAGCCCTGTGTGGGAGATACCAAGCAACATGATATGTGCAACAAGAAGGATTGCCCAATTGGTTGGTATTTAGTCATTCTTTATTCAGTCTGAGTAATTATTATTGCTGTTATTTCTTTAATGGATAATTATGAATTGACACTACAGAAATCTACTAATTATACCTTTGTTTCAGGAAAGCACTTTTAACTATTTTGGGTGCTGTTTAGATCAGCAGGATTTTATATATATTCTTAATACTGACTTCCCCTGAACAAGGATGTGTTTCTTAAACAAGGCTTCAATATGCTGCAGTGTATTCAGCTGGATGTAGCAATCTGTAATATTTTCATAGTAAATCAATCGTATATTAAATGCATTTAATAACCCTAATTGTAGCGGGTTTTTATAAGAGTCTGTTGCATCACATATGATTTAAGCTGATGAACAGAGAATATCTGTTTCTTAAATGAAGTTTTATATGCCTTTTATGCTCCTAACTTAATGTACACTTTTATGTGTCTTTGCCAGATGGGTGTTTGTCAAATCCTTGCTTTCCTGGAGCAGAATGCAACAGTTACCCAGATGGGTCTTGGTCATGTGGGCCATGCCCAGCAGGTTACCTTGGCAATGGTACCGTCTGTGAGGATCTTGATGAGGTATTGACTTTGATTCCAATAACCTCAGGAAATCACTGTGAAATTTTCATTATTTGGGAATTACGCAGCCATCTAATTGGTGTCTTCTTTCTTTCCCTTCCGGCAGTGTATAGCTGTGTCAGATGTGTGCTTTAAGGTGAATCAGGTCCATCGCTGCGTGAACACAAATCCAGGTTTCCACTGCTTGCCATGTCCTCCACGCTATAAAGGAAGTCAGCCCTATGGGGTAGGGCTGGAAGTTGCCAAGACAGAGAAGCAGGTAAGTGATGTTGAAGAGAATTTGATGGCTTTGAAACTGAGTAATTCTCACCTGAAAATACCTGTGAATGAAAGCATGACAAAGATACCCTCCAACAGCAGTTATCTATTTCAGGTTATTTTTGGTTTGAGTAACAAAACACTGAATTTGGGTGGTTTTTTTTAAGGGTTTTATTTAGTCTAGGCATCTGCGCCGTTGCACCAAATGAGTGTAAAATGCCAGGAGCAAGCATTCCCTTGCTTTGCACTCCTTTCAGGTGTATATGCCTACTCTGGGCATTGGAAACTGAAGAATCAGGATCGTTCTCTCCACAAATATAATGCTGTTAATGTGGGTGTCATCAGACATATGTCTGAAGTTCTCAATCCCTAAATTCTATTGGGCCAACACCTATCAGTGGTGAAGGACAGAAGGAAGTGGAAGTGATACTGAAGACTATGGTCTGATAGATAAAAACGTTAAAACAGATGTCATGGGATGCCTTTTCTTTGTGGCTGTTGAATCAATCTGTGGTTAGTTCAACATGTGAAGTCCAAATGCAAAACATCTGTGTAAGACTCTCGGATATTGTCAATGAAAATAAGCAAAGTGATAAGAAAGAGGTTAAAAAAAACTTACTTGAGGGGAATGTGAGAATTCATTATGGTCTCTTTGATTTAAGAAAATAAAGTAGTCCTTGCATACTGACAGGCAGAACATTAAAGGAAAGAGGTGAGTACAGTCTACTTTCTGTTGCAGTTAATTTCTGGGGATTAATGGCATCTGGAAGAAAGCAGATAGGGTTCTGAAAATGTTAATCACTTTAATTTCTTTTTGAATAATGTCCAATTTTTCCTGTGGTTTGTTTTAACTATTTTCATTGTACACATCGTCTGGAGTTGTGAACTGACAGAGCAGTATGACTTACTAACAACAATTAAAACAAAGTTCCTGTCTTTAGACATCTAGATAACTGTCCTGATTTTGACAAAGTTGAGACACACACAGCTAGCTGCAAATATCGTCAGGTTTCAGTGAGTATGCTCTATCTGTTACAGGTCTGTGAACCTGAGAACCCATGCAAGGACAAGACACACAGCTGCCATAAGTCTGCAGAGTGCATCTATCTCGGCCATTTCAGTGATCCTATGTACAAATGTGAATGTAGGACAGGTTATGCTGGCGATGGACGCATCTGTGGTGAGGATTCGGATTTGGATGGCTGGCCTAATAATAACTTGGTCTGTGCTGCTAATGCAACATACCATTGCGTGAAGGTAAGTAAAGAAGGTTGATAAAAATACCATGCCATAACCAAATTTTCTCTCTTTTTTTCCTAAATAGTTGTGAATACCACTTTTCAGCATCAAGCTGGTTGTTGCTTTCATTAAGCTTTGACTGTTACACCATGCTTATTTTCTAGGAGATGCTGTGAAATGTGTGTTCACTTAACACTAGATCCAGTAAGAGATTCTCAAAATGAAATCCAGAGTCCTCTGCTTTGGATTTCTTCCTGCTCAGAATACACAGAAGGTTGGGATGCTTCTGAATAGAGTTAGTACACTGAGCAGGAGCTGCCTAAAGCACAGGTGTGGAACACACAGCTAGTGAGAACTAAACAGGAGTCTCTGGACACAGGTGAGTATGAAATCCTACCTGCAAGGCTTGTAACAAGACAGACAGCCACGTAAGGTCTACAGTTCTAAATCTTTTCTTGAACTACCCCTTCCTTTTAAAGAGTTAAGCAGGTCACACTGTGTGAAAACTGGATTCAGAGCCTGAGATAATTTCTGGTGATAGGAACCTAAGAGAGGAGCGAATATGAGTAATTAGACAGAGGAGTTCTTATTGCATAGGGTCAGCGGGAGAGGATGGGAGATTGAGCTTCTCTTACCCTTCAGAGATGTGGAGTCCCAGCTCTCACCCGCCCGAGGGGAATGACCTGCCTGCCATCATTGGCTCTGGACCTGGCAGGGGACTGTTCACTCTTGCTGCTACAAAAAATGAAACATTACTACACCAAGGAGGAAATAAGCATCAGGGAGCCTGAAAATGGTGGTATGTAGGTTTAGCCCACCGTGGTATGTTCCCTGGAACCTGGTTCTGTGATCATCTGAATCACGCTGTAAGTCCTCCTTGGCTTCATGGCCTGAGGTTCCTTCCAGTGGAAATTGCTTAAAAATGGTGAGCCCGCTTTGATGTCTCAACCTGATGCGGTTACACTGCTGTGCAAAAGCAGGCTGGAAGTTGTTCCAGGTCCACCAGTTTAACAATGGCCCAAATAGCTGAGGAGTGAAGGCATCCCCGACAGGTAGTTCCCTGGATCCCAGTTCTGAGTGGCGGCCTCACTGATGGTTGAATGACAGGCATAGTACAGAAGGGCATGTGCTGTTTGCAGCAGCAAAGTAAGCAACTGGGATGAAGTGAGCTTTATCTGAGCAGAAGGCATAATCAAGTGCTCAGTTTTAAACACTTGCCCATGGGACCACTGACAACACTGGATTACCTACATGCTTTCACTAGGGCAGATGCTCAAGTATTTTGCTGAATCGGTTGTGGCTCCAAGGGCAATGCTTTCTTTCCTGAGGTTTTTAGATACTTTTTTTTTTCCCCTACTGCCCTGAAACATTTTGGTTTCTCCTTCTCCATGTTAAAGTGATCTACCTCTAAACTCTCATGAAGTTCTAGCATGATAACTTCAGCTTAAAAAAAAAAATGAGGAAAGAAATGCAAAAATGACAGAGTTCTAGACCACTACAGTGGTTAAAAAAACAAAACACAGATCAAGAGACTAGGAAAGTTTGAAATCAGGCTGTTTGAGAGAGTCAGAAGTCACTCGGGTGTAATCCACTTGAAGTTGTGAATCTGGGCTCTCTCAGCAGAAGAGTTTCAGACTTCGATGGAAATTTGAGCCTCAAATGTTGATCTTCCTAACTGTAGCTGATGTCTGTTCATGGTGGATCCAGGCAATTCAGCTATTGCATTTCATATATTCTTTTTTGGTTCCTGTCGTCGGAATCTGCAACATGTTGACTCAAGATGTAAGGCCAATGATTAGTTTTCATTAAAAACGCAACATGCTGAACCCATTCAGAAAAAATTGTTTCCAAAGGTTGATTCATGGTTTCTATAATATATGTGTTGATCTAATAGACACAAGTACATCACTGAAGGGGACCCTGCGCCCTCCCCCCCCGGCCCAAAAAAACCTTAAAAATACCAGGTATTTTCAGATCCTTATACTCATTACAAAATATTCTAGTTGAGTAATTCTATTTTAAAAAAACAGACTAAAGATTCTTTCCTTGAGCTGATAATGGTTGAAAATTAGCTCACTGTCTAAGCAAAGGTATATGAATAAAACAAGTAGTTGTAAATAATAATGAAAGTAAAATCTTAGCACTATCTTTTAGTATAAATTTCTTTCACTCACATGAAAGTAGCATTTTTTTTCCATAAGAATTATCATACCAAAACACAGCTTTGTCAATAGGTGAACCAAAGAAGCCTAGTTTCCAGTGTGTTTGTGCCTCAAGATTGAGTTCCCTGGTGGAAGGTGTGATGTCTAATAAGTCCTCTTTCCAATATCTAATAAGAAGCTTCTGGGGTGCACTGGTAGGATCTCTCCCCTGTAGCCTATTACCTCTTTTTGCAAAGTTTATAGGAAATTGCTATCTCTACCTTACTACTTGATTTGTATGAAACTGGACTTGAATCTGTAGAGAATACAGAGAGACAGAAAAACATATAGACAGAAACATACAAAGTGATTCAGCAAGCTTCAACTAATTTCTTCCATTGTTTCCAAAAATTTTTTTTGTATCACTGCTAACCAGTGTTGAGTTGGACAGTCAAGGCTGTTCACGGGTATTTGGTAAAAAAGTGCCATAAAAAATTTGGAGTTGCATTGGGGTTTTGATATTTATCACAAATTTTCCACTTCTCTTTTTCTTAAATTATCTATAGTATTAGAACCACTAAGATTGAAAACAGGACCAGGAATCTTACTATAATATTCATTTTCTTAGGGCATGTGTTACAAAAAAAGATATTTCTGCGCACTATTGGCAGATTCAGTTTTCGTCTGAGGTAGATACGGAATTTGAGAAAAAGTGAGAATAACAGAGTGGGTTTTTATAGATGTGTGTATTCTTAAGCTGTGGTAGAATTGCAATCCATTTTTAGCTGATTTTGGTATCTTAAAAAGGAATACATGTTAAAAGTTTGCCAAACTATTTCACTTGCTTTTTTCAGTGTAACCTAAGACTTCCTCATTTAAAATAATCATTCTTTACAAAGCTGTGATACAAAATAAAGGGACGCATTTACCTTTTATTTTCAAAGCCATGGGAGTGCAAAGGTACTGTTCTGCAGAACAGTATAAAGGCACGTTTTTCAAAACCCTTTCTTACTGTGTTCCCCTTCATTGCTGTGTACTACTTCAGTCCAGTAACTTTCCATATGAACAACTATTTCTGAAGACCATCCCCTGGCTTGTGTCTATTCTTCTGGCAACCAAACCTGATCGTTTTATATGTAATCCTTAAACATACTTCATGAGTTGTCTATAAAAAGTTGATGTAAGAGTGCATGTGTGTGCATGTGGTGTGTTTGTTCTCTGCTAGATAGTTTCATCTACAATTTACTGGAAACATCCCTTTAACAGAAGGAGAGCTGGGAAATAGAATGATTTGCAGATGCATTTCACTTTACAATATGAAAGCAGCAAATGAACTACTATCTTTGGCAGCAAACAAACAGGCACTTTAAAAAGTATCTGTGATTGATTGTTCTTGGTTTATAGTCTCTGGTGTACCGTATCTACTCTTCTCCCCAGGCAAGTCATTCTGACATAATGTAAACATAATGTATTGATTATTTCTTTTGGCCAGGATAACTGCCCCCTTCTGCCTAACTCTGGCCAAGAAGACTTTGATAAAGATGGCAAAGGAGATGCCTGTGATGAGGATGATGACAATGATGGTGTTGAAGATGACAAAGTAAGATGCATTTCTGTGTATTCAGTACATTTGACCTAAACATCTGGTTTTAAGGAAAACCATTGCAATAGATGAGAGCGTTATTGTTCAGAGCTTCAGCTGAGTTGTTCTGCACTGCCTTCCCTCAATGATATCTGGTGCAGAATAAAGCTGTGTTGGGTCAAAGAAGAGTAGCACTGTGGAGAGCAAAGCAGCCTGGGGAACCTGGGGCTGAATTTCATTCTCTGTATCAGTTCTGGGTTCAGTCATGTGCATGAAAAGAGTTTAATGGAAAGTGGGATTGGATTTCTTATTTTGCAATGGGAGAATGATAGGTCCATTGTATTTGAAAAGCTGGTAAATATTACATCTGGGGTATGTTGGAAACAAGTTATGATGAATAATAATAACTATAAACACAGCCAGTATCAAGGGGAAATGACAGGAGGAAGATACCTAGCCTGGTTCATACTTTCCTCCTTTAGATCTGCCCACAAGACTGAAATTCATTTACCTGTAGACCCTAAAAGATAGGCAGTCTAAACCTGTGCTCCCTGGACATTCAGAAAAAGGACAGAGGCACCTCCAGAGTGGGCTTCACCCTGCCTTTTCCGAACATGTTTAGGATGAGTGAATTTGTTTTAGGAATTTACTGTTCCAATTTGTTCCCTTCAGAGGGAGCCTAGATGCTCTAGAGCTTCAGATGGTTAACATTGGGTTAGAACTGTGTTGATGGAACCTGTTTGGAATATTTCAAAAACCAAAGAATCATTTGATAAAATAATATGATGTAGTACATATAGTTGAAAAATTGTAGCCAGATGTTGTTTTATGAGCAGTATAAAATTTTGACTTGCCTCTATATCTTGACCTTGAGTATATGAAATGTATTTCTGAGGAATTTAAAATGTTTTGCTAAAAATATTATTTCCTAGTAAATGGGTTTTGTTTTAGCAGAGGAAAAGTAGTTTAAATATTTTTTCCATATGACGTCCTTTCAGATTCCATGATACTGATACAGCACTCACTCCCACTGCTTTGGTTTGGTTTCATTCTTCTTTGCTTTCCACACTGCGTACTTCCTCATGCCTGTGCAAAAGTCCATGTGTAATTTCGGGATGTGTGAAACATAAGAATTCTTGTTCTGGCAGACTTCCAAATTGGGGACTAAACTGAAATTAAATTTTCAAAATTCCACTAAAATAAATGGTCTCAGGAAAAAAATATTTTGGGGCAATGAGAGTATTTCATTTTAACTTTAATTTTTGAAAGTTTCTACATTTTATTATCATATGCAATATAACACAACCCACAAAAAAGTCAGTCTTTATTTAAATTGAAAAATCAAAATATGTGGTTTAAAAGTGAGAATATTGATACTAGTTTGTTCCAAAAAAGTCAGAGTATCATTTCTAACTTTTTCCAAAAAATACAGTATGCAGTTGAAGTTGGCCTGATTTTGCAACACGTTCTGATTTTTCTAAAAAACACATGTACCAGTGATACACTTTTGTTGAAATATGTGAGTACAGATCCAGTTTAAAATGCCTATTCCTCTCCTAGTGAGGTGTGGAACATGTTTCGTATGGCTTGTACAAAAACACAAAAGCAGACAGTGAGCCAGGCTGTCCAGATGCCATCTTGTTATCACTGAGATCTTCAGTGTAGGTACAGCTTGTCCATTGAAAAAATAGTGGATTAATAGTTTGATTTTGGCCTCTGTCCAAGATGAACAGGAGGAGTTATCACTTCATAGTATGCTCTCATGAGTTGTGATTTATGTTCTGAAATCTTCTATTTCTTCTTACCAGGACAACTGCCCTCTTCTGTTCAACCCTCGTCAGTTTGATTATGACAAGGATGAAGTTGGTGACCGCTGTGATAATTGCCCCTATGTGCACAACCCTGCTCAGATTGACACAGATAATAATGGGGAGGGTGACTCATGTGCTGTGGATATTGATGGAGATGGTATGCTTTCAGTTTTGAGAATTAAGTGCTGTTCCACAAGTACACTTTGCTTTATGTCCAGTAAAATGGGCTACCTGCTTTTATACATGGAACAAAATTGGGTCTAGCAGCTCAAAAATGCAGAAGAAAGGGAAGACAGGTTCATCTGTCCTGTGTAGTGTAGTTGTCCATAAAGTCCCTAAAGGATTACAATGGATATTATTCAAGTATAAATCACAGCAAGTCTTTTATCAGTGTAATCTTAAAAAAAATTCTTTCCTTCATCTGTGTTCCAAAGTAATCAGGGTCTAATATAACACTTCTGTTGCCTTTTTTTTTTCCTTTTTAGGGAGGGAAAAGAACATCAGAACATCTGTGCGGTTAAGACAATATCTGTAGGAAATTAATCTGCTTTTCTATGAATGTAATGCAAAGCTCACAGTAATCCAAATATACATTTTTTGTGTGTCTTAAAATATTATTAAAGGTGTTTATTTCATCTACCAGTACATGCCTATGTGACCCAGATTTGATCAGAATTAAGGAGGGGGAAAGCACTTAAATGTCTTTCAAAACTCATAACCATGCAGCATTTCAATTTATGAGAATCCAGAAGTATGAGAAGTTGAAGAAATCTAGTTTTGGATTTCTTTCAGTAACATTTTAAACTTTTGGATTGAAGTTCTGAACATTTTGAAGTCCTCTCATCCTTCTGATCATCACATTCTTAGTAATGCTCATGGTAGTTCTGCATTTGAAGAAAAACGTAGTCATGTGTTATTGGCTGAAAGATTATGCAAATACCCAGGGACCATATCATGTGGGAAAGGGTCCTTGTATCCTTTCCAGACAGACATGCCAACGTGGCTTGATTTTGTTTCTTTTCAACATATTATAGTTTTGAAGGAGATTGTTGGTTGTATAAGAAAAGCTTCCTGAGGAGGAACAGTTTCTTTTGAAAATTTGGCATGCTGTACAATAAATGATGCACATGTTCTAGTAAAATTAAATTATTTAGTGCTGAGGCAGCTGAACATTAATGCAGTTGTTGCTAAACAAAACTCTTCAGAAATTCCACCATGATATAGCTGTGCGTTCTATGCCATTACTTAGAGTGTGGGAAGAAAATCCAAACCAAATTATTTAAAAAGAAAAATAACCTGCCTCTTTATCTGTTATTCTGTGAAAGAGGGCTAAACTCTTAAGACATAATCAGCCCTTACTCTAGCAAAATTCCCTAGGAAAATACATATAGAAGACTTTATCATGGCAAGAAAAGTGGAATCGATACCATCATTTTTCTTTCTAATATTAGTCTTTTCACTATTTCATGTTGTAGCAATAATGTTGTAGCAGTCAGAAAGCCTATGAACCACTTAAGAGCTTTGCTTCTTTACTGGTGACTCCTGCAGTCTATGGTTGTCTGTGCTGGATGCTATATCATTCTGATTTCTTCAATCTTTTGGTTTTTTCCTTGCAGACATTTTTAATGAACGAGATAATTGTCCTTACGTCTACAACACAGACCAGAGTGATACAGATGGTGATGGAGTTGGTGATCAGTGTGATAATTGTCCGTTGATGCATAATCCAGACCAGGTAAATGTTAGAGATGGTTTTCTTAATGGTAGCATCAGAACAAGGGCAGAGGAAAGAACCCAGGAACTGCTATCAGTCCCTGTTTACTGTAGAGCTGAAGAGGTGGATCTGTATTGCTCATTTTCATATCTCAGGGTGTCAGATCTCAATGTATCAGAGAAGTCTCCAGAGAAGTCCTTGAAGAGAAGTGTTGAGAAATTAAGTACCAGGCAATCTGTACTTTTGTGTTCAGCAACAATAATAAATTTACTCTCTCAAATTTTTTGGGGTAGACTGATGCAGATAATGACCTCGTTGGTGACCAGTGTGACAACAATGAGGACATAGATGAAGATGGCCACCAGAACAACCAGGATAACTGCCCTTACATCCCCAATGCTAACCAGGCTGACCATGATAAAGATGGTAAAGGAGATGCCTGTGATCCTGATGATGACAATGATGGTGTCCCAGATGACAGGGACAATTGTCGCCTCAGATACAACCCTGAGCAGGAGGACTCTGATGGTAAGAACAATGTCATATGAATTTCATTTAGTTCTTAGTATCTGATTCTGATCTTGGAGTATTAACATCTGATGAAGAGAAAGATTTCAGATCAAACTGAGCTGCTTTTGACAGTTGAGACACCATGAACTTCAGTGGAACTGAACTGGCCAGTTTGGTCCAGGGTTAGAGCATTATGAAACCTCTTTGACAGGGGCTCAAACACACACATACTTATTTATAGAACACCTTTAACAACTTTAAAAATCAAAATTAAGTTTTGGGGGTTTTTTATATTTCTGATTTTCACTTTGTTGAAATATTACAGATCTGGGAAAATATTTCAAATAGCTTGAATTTCAGATGTCTTAAAAAATGAAAAATGAGCTGCTTTGCTTTCAAAATAAGTTATCTTCTGAAAACTAAAATGGAAAAAATTATGGTTTACTGCTCTGTTTTATTTTGAAAAACAGACTGTTTCTCCAGTTTTTTTAAGTCTAAAATTCTTGTTAATTTTTAACTATTTTTGTAAAAAAGATTCCTGAGCAGCTTTTCTCAAATTTGCTTTATAGGTAGCTTTAACTATGTCTTGACTATGTAAATGTTACAGTTTAAAACATGGATACATAGTTGTTCTTCAGTTCTGTGGGAAAATGTTGCTAGTCCCTCTCAAATCATCCTTCTCTATGCTTGGCAGTATTTCAAGAATGAAATAGTGATAGTTTCATAATCATAAATGTAATTTAGAAAACATTTATGATCCTTCAAAACCCACCATAATATATCTGTAAGTAATGGCACTTGCAATAAATACAGGTGAGCAATTTCTGTTCTGAGTTATAGAGCTTGCTGGAGTCATTCCATGGCTACGCTGGTGAAATTGAAAGCAGAATTTAGTACCTACACAATATGGTTTTATGCACATTTAGAAAGATAAAATCCTGAGCCCTGACTGATTTCCTGGTGAGACAACTGCTGGCAATAGGGAGTTTCTGGTTGGTAGTCAGTAGTAGTTCTTAAATTACTTAACCCTTCAATCCAATTATATATTTGGAATATCTTTGTACTTGCAAGTCCCTGGAGTAGCCCCTTAATTTCAGAAATATTCCAAAATAAGGGTGCCCCCAAACTGGGATAGTTTGTTATAGTCGTCTGTCACCTGGATCTTGCAAGGGAGACTGCATTTATGTATGGAGTAAGGATTCACAAAAAGTGTAAATTTAAACATTTTAGCCAGCTCATCACTATCATTAGTGACAGGTCCAACAGAAATCTTGGAAAAGTGATAAATAAAGCCAAAAGATGCTCCCATGCTCTTGAAGATGTGCGCTATAGCATATAAAGATGAGGCCCTGGAGAGAGCTGTTGGACGTGGCTGGGTAAACAAATGCTTTCTAACTTTCCTTGATAGGGAATCAATGTTGTCAGCAGCAGCTCAGTACCAAATGAACATCAGCAGGACTTTCAGTGAATAATTAGATTCTCCTGTGACTCAAGAATTACCTCTTTGATATTGGCAAAGGGAATAAAATTAGAAATTCATTCTCTTTTCTCCAATAAGTACTAAGACAAACAGGTGCAGGAGCACACAGCTGGTCAGGATTTGGAGTTCTCCATGGCTGATTGCCAGGGTGGAAAATGGGACCATTTTACCATGTATCTGAACTGCAGAAAGTCTTTGACATATTGGATACTTCAGCTTTCTCTACTTTTTTTTTTTTTTTTTGGCTGTTGCCTAAAACTCATTCTGCTTTCCTTTTGAAAGCTTCATACTTGGATAATGCTGTGCTGGTTAGGCATAGTAATGTAGCTTTCCATTTGTCTGTGAAGCATCTAGTAGGTCAGTATTGAATGAGCTGGATCATTGCTCTTTCCCATTGTGTTAATTCCCATATTCTTAGAGTGGTCACAAACACTTAAAAAAAAAGCAGATGCTCAGCTACATGAGGATAGAAACAAATTAGCTGGCAGTTCTGGCTTTACATTAGTACCCAGTGCAATATCCAGTGGTTTCTGTTGTAAAAGTCAGAGCCATTTGCGAATTTGTTTCTATACTTGTCTAGCCAAGTTTTTCTACTTTATTTTCAAGTGTTTTGTATGCCACTGAATAACAGTGGCATTGGCAATGAGGTTTGGTTTGTTTTTTTAGATGCCTCCTTTCACCACCTGCTATTCAAGGCAAGTCACATCTCCTGGTTTCTACCAATATTGAGGGTAAATTAAGAAAGGAAATTATTTTTTTAAAAAATATTGAGCATAGTAAAAGTGTTGAGCAGATGCACAACTGTGGCTGAGCTGTATGGACATATTTTTAGGCTCTCTAAAAAGCTTCTTGCAAGTCATGTAACAAAACTTAATATTTCCATTCCTCCAAGGCTAGTCCTGTTGGATACAGTATTTCTTTCTTTTTTCTTACATTTTTCTGAAGCACTACATTTCTTATAAGACAAATTGTTCTACCCACAAGTGAAAGAGGGACTAAGCACATATGCATATTTTACTGCAATACTGTCCCCACTTTCTTCTGACATAGAGGTGACACTTCTGCAATCTGAAGCACCTGAGATGTATTGTTGCTGAAGGAATCTTAAGACAGAGATAAAAGAGTCTGAAGAAAGTTTAGTATCTTCAATAGTATATAAGGATTTAGTAACGTGCAAGAACATTAAGATTTTAATGCTATTGTTTGAATTCATTTACACTGATCATATTAAAATGTGGTGTTGTATCCACATCTGGGACAATTCAAACTGAAAATGTAATACAAGCATTAGTGAATTACATCGATATAGCAAACTTCCAACTTTTCCCACCCCGATTCTAAAGCAGCATATAGACTGGGGCCAGATTGATCACTGTCATAAACCACCGACAGGACAGTTTTATTAACAACAATTTTGAACCCGATCTAAGTTGATGACTTCTTTCAGTCCTTACCAGCAACATTTCAAATGTACTTTCAGAGAATGAAGCTTTCTTTGGAGTGATTTGGAGCGTTCTTTGGGAAACAAGAGAATAACATATATGTATCATAAATTTCTTCCATCAGTGGGAGAGATGTTAGGAAGGCTGAACAAATTGCTAACAATTGCATTTGCTTATTCACATTGCTTATAGGTGATGGCAGAGGTGATATTTGCAAAGATGACTTTGACAATGACAATGTCCCGGATATTTACGATGTATGCCCTGAAAACAATGCCATCAGTGAAACTGATTTCAGAAAGTTCCAGATGGTCCCCCTGGACCCCAAGGGAACAGCTCAGATTGATCCCAACTGGGTTATTCGCCACCAAGGCAAGGAACTGGTGCAGACTGCCAACTCTGATCCTGGAATAGCCGTAGGTAAGTATTGGATGTCAGCTGTTGTCTATGGACAAGTAACCAGTGATCTGGTGATAAGGGAAGGGAAAAAAAAAAAAGGTAGATAAACACAGCTTTTTGGTGCTGCAAGCCTCGGACTGACACACAGGGACAGTGTACATGCCCAAATTAAAAACAGCGCAGTACTGTTTGCCTTTGACCATTCGTCTCATCACTGAGTGTAACACACAGAAGATAAGCAGAACTTGATATAAGTGCAGTGCCTACTGTCTCCAATGCCCCTTGTAAACAACTTCTCTCCAGAAGCGTCCATGTTATAGGTAGGCAAGTGTGACTACCTCCTCTCCTACAGGTAAGGAAACTGAAAAAGATAATTTATGACTGTTGGCAAAACTCAGGATAGAGCTGGGACTCTTGGGTGTGGGTGGACTGAACCAGCATTGTAACTCAATGGTTTGTCTCTTCCATCCTCTCCCAGGCTACGATGAGTTCAGCTCTGTTGACTTCAGTGGGACGTTCTATGTTAACACAGACCGTGATGATGACTATGCTGGCTTTGTGTTTGGCTACCAGTCCAGCAGTCGGTTTTATGTTCTGATGTGGAAGCAGGTCACTCAGACCTACTGGGAGGACAAACCCACTAGAGCTTATGGCTATTCTGGTGTGTCGCTCAAAGTAGTGAATTCAACAACTGGTACCGGTGAACACTTGAGAAATGCTCTCTGGCACACAGGAAACACCCCTGGACAGGTGAGAGATTTAACACTTCAGGCCAACAATGCATGGCTAATATTTTAAAAGGAAGGGAGGTGTCTTGAAAAGAATCTCCTTTCACACCTCAAATTTTTGCAGATGTTTATCAGCTTTTCTTCATTTCCCATATTACTGGTGTCAATAATAACATTTGCATTGTGTTTCAAAGAAAACATTACACGTATAAAAAATTATGAATGGAAAAAGTTACATGTATAAAAGGGAAGATGTGGTGTGGTCCAAAGAAAAAGGAGTGAGAAGTCTCAGTTATCCACAAATCCTTTGTGACCTCTATATTGGCACTTGCTTCTTTGGCATTCCAGCTTGTTTGAATTATACATGGTTTAGAGTTCAGTAACCAGTGACAGCCAAAGAGAAAAGAAGTGAAAACAAAGAGAGAAAAACTGCTGCTGTTCCAAATAGGGCCCAGCCATGGAAGAAACTTGTGCCTTTTGGAAATGAAGTTAGTGGGACTTCGCATGTGGATAGGAATTTCTCACTTTGGAGCTCCTTGCAGGAAAAGGACCTTTACTGAGTGCGAGAGATTTCAAGGAGCAGGCCACAGGCAATAACATCTGTGCAAGCCTCAGTCCCTCTCCTTTGGTGGAGGTGCTCATACAGATAGGAAAAGTAGCGTCGCCTCTGGCAGTGTGTGGGGGGGTGTGCAAACGGGCAGGACTTCCTAAAGGAAGTCAGGTTCGGTGCTGTGATGGTCTTTGGTGACTCCAGCTATGAAACTACAGATGAGTAACTGATCAATAATTTAAGACAGAAATTTTCATTGCTCTCAGCCTATAAAAGAGGTCTGCTGATCATACCATGTTAAACACTATTTTTGGTTCCATGCTCTGCAGCAAATAAGCTTTGGCTGCATGTACAGTTACTGTAGTGGATGTACAGTTACTAGAGCACAGTCTGTTTCTAATAAGGCATTTGTATTCCTACTGTAGGTGCGTACTTTGTGGCATGATCCCAAGAATATTGGCTGGAAGGATTATACTGCTTACAGGTGGCATTTGATTCATAGGCCTAAAACGGGATTAATAAAGTAAGAAATGTTTCTGCACCTCTATATTTTCTAGTAGCAAAACTAAGAGCTATGTTATCAGTTTCTTTGTTAGTTCTGATAATGATACTTGTGTGACAGTTTGTTCCAATAATTTGGTGACATTTTGTCTTCTTTAGAATAAGATATTTTCCTTTTCAGATGTATTTAATGTAGTCTGGATAGTTCAATATTTACATCAGCTAAATATTCTTAAATTAAAGAAAAAAATAAAATTCTTTCTCAATAGCTCTTCTGTAAAGGGACCAAAAATTCCTAAGCAAAACTCAAAGCAAGATTAGAACACGAGATTCCTCCCCAGCCTCTGGAATTTGAATGAATGAAATTAATTAGAAACATCAGAATTGCCACAGGGAAGTAGGCCAACGGCCTGTCTACTTCAGCATCCTGTCTCCCATAGTGGCTTATCCGAGATACTGCAGAAGTATCCATGAGCACATCTGTAATGCACACAAGGAGTTATGGTGTATGACTTCCCTTAGAGCCCAGCTGTTTATCTGATGTTCCAAAGAATGAGCATTAACTGTCCATGTCAATTTTATCTTCTACTAACTACTGTAACTGTAAAGGATGTTTTTCAAAGGGCAGAGTCTGACCTTACCTCTTAAGGTCTTGTTTGTGCTTATGAGCAGGGGAGTTTCACTTGGCTGTGAAAGACAAAAGGGTAGACAAATTTGGATAGACTAAGTTACTAAGTTATCTGTTTCTTGGAAAGAAAAGAGTTTCATGCATCGAAGTATTGCAGTGCAAAGCATTGACTGTTACAGGTCAAAAGGAAACTTGAGTTTTTCGTTTGTGATGCTGTTACCTGTATCTTCCTTTGCAGGAATCTACTTAGTGTCAGGCAAAGCATGTTTCAACTAGTATCCCATTAGATTAATCTAGCATGACAAATTCTGTGGTCCAGGGCATTAAATTCCTTCATTCTTCAGGGTGTTTTTATAGAAAATAAATAAATAAAATCAATGGCTTCATGTCTATATTAGTGAAACAATTTTATTTGTACAGAAATAGCAATTTAGTAGTAACATGATTAGAGCTGCCTAATTTTTTGGGGTGGAATGAATAATTTATTAAACTCTTCCCATACGTTTTAGGTTCTTGAAATTTTGAGAATTATGTTAAACAGGGTTACGTGAACCTGTCGTTCTTTTTGCTTTTCTTATTACCATCGATGAAATACTGTTTTCAGGGAGCAGTTTCATACTTGTTTTTAGGCACCTTTCAGAAAATAAAACACTTCAAGGTAGAGCAAGTGCTGGACGTGCATTTCTGCCTAAGTAGAAATCTGTCCTGAACCCGTGAGTTATAGGAAGTTGCTCAAGTGTGTTCATCCTCATGTGAAACCATCCTGCTTTGTATAACTCATGTATTGTCAACTGAAGCAGGACCATAATCCCTTCCTCCAGAGACTGCTTTAATTAACAGACTATAGAGTCATTTCTCATTTGGCCCAAAAGCTATTTTAAGAGACTGAGAGCTGAAGAACTTTGACTATCTCAAGGTCTCCCTTGAGAAGTAGAGAATCCAAGTTCAAGGAAGGGTAATCTATCTGATAGAGAAGGAAAATGAGGAGGCATCTTTAGAGGTCTTTTGGCTGTAGGGTGGATGCCTGAAACACTACCAAAAAAAACCCCCCCACCACCCCTAAAAACCCAAGTTCTCCTTCTTTTCCAATTTGTTATTAGTCTAGCTGTTTGTGTCCAAATCCTTCCAGCTTTCATTAAGCTCTTAAAATGTCTGAAATTGAGATTCAGCATGGCTCCAATTAATGTTTTGTTTGACTCTAAAGGGAAGGTTCTTCCAATTTCTGATGTTGGCCCTTGCACCTAAAGATAAATAAATCAGCCGTTCACACAGCTATAATGACGATTTTGCTAAGTGATGTGGCGAGGTCTTGTGCTAACCTCTGAGTTCACAGGGACGGGGGCTTATCAATGAATGCTAGTACATGACATAGTTCATTCCAGGAGACATGACTGTTCTAAATAAAGAATTGGGAAATCTTTTGCAGATGGTGTGCATAAAATTACTTATGGAACAGCTCCACTGCTTCTGATTAATGTGTTATGGCTGCCAGCCAGGTGGGCGTGAGATACAGATGAGAAGTGATCCTTACAATGAAGTTGGGTTTTCTGATGCCTTCTTAAAATTAATTCTGTTTCAGTTCTTGGGAACCATTACCAGCCCTTAGCACTGGACACTGCGTTATCCTCCTTGTCTAATTTAAATTATCCTCTTCTTTACAGAGTTTTAGTGTATGAAGGGAAACAAGTCATGGTGGATTCTGGACCAATCTATGATACAACCTTTGCTGGTGGACGATTAGGTCTTTTTGTCTTCTCTCAAGAGATGGTCTATTTCTCTGACCTCAAATATGAATGCAGAGGTTAGTTACAGAAAATACCTGGAAAATGCTGAAGCCTTTGATAAGCTGTGGAGCAAGCATGAAATATGGAAATGAAAAGTATCCTCTAGTCACAGAAAGCAATCTGTAATATCAAAGCATGGAGTAAACCTTGATTTGTTGAAATACCATGAATGCCCTTTGCCCCTATAGTAATCTCAATTTGAATAACAAAACCCAGATGTTTAATACTACCCACCTGGAAAAAATGAGATAGAAATAAATCTCTGAGTGAGATATGCACTTAGAATTCTGTCTGTATATCCACTTTCCTTTGTAGGCTATTTGAGTGTGTCCTGCGGGCAGAGAGCTACTTCTGGATCACCCCTCTTTCAAGAGGCATGAAGGAGAGAGCAGATATTTTTAATGAGCATGTCTGTCTATAGTGCCTTGTCCAAAATGTTCTGAAATACAGAAAATGCTTTCCCAGGTTTTCTTACGTATGATTTTTTTGGTATACATTTAGATACACAGGTGCACATACACATATGTGTGTGCCTCTAGCTATATAGGCAGATATCTATTTTTATATAAACGTCCTCACATTTGTAGGAGAATGCAGAATGGCAAACATTGTGCTGCATCCCTATACTGTGTCATGATGGAGCTCTGTTCTTGTGTGACTGACTTTCTAACAAAATAAGACAACCACAATTAATATTGTTTTTTCTCATTTCTTTCAGATGCTTGAGCAATGGTTGCTGCATTACCAGCAAAGTACTGTAAATGCTATGCAACCTAGACACCTCAGTACATCCTGGTACTCCCAGTTTCTATTTTTGTGTACCTCCTGTCCTCTGTCCTCGTGCTCCACTCACCAGGTACCTCCCTGCTGCCAGGAGTGCCTCAGCCATCCCTCCACCCAAGTGCCTTCTCACAGCCAGGACTAATGAGACCTAAACGTGAGCGTCCGACCCACCACCGAAGCAAAAGCAGATTGATATATTAGAACACTTTTGTAGAGTGAAAACTTAGCAAAACATGTTTGTTTGTTTATTTGTCTTTTTTAAGGAATGACGTTTACATATAAAAATGTAATTACTTAATGTATTTATATATATATGGAGAAAAAGAGGGGGGTGATGATTATCAGTCATTGTCTTTAAGTGAGGAAAAATGTGTTTGAATAACTTTTTAGGTGTATGGTTGACACTTCCGTGCTCTGATCAGGACTGGACTTCAGTAACACAAAGCCTTTGGGTCTAATTTTAGCAAAGTAATGGAAGGCCACGCCAACAGTATCTATATAACAATGAAAATGCCTTTGGTTAATAAAGTAAAGACCAATTATGAACGCTTCTTGATCCAAAAAGATGTTCTTTAGCTTATGAGGATGCTCGTAATAACACCTGTTAAAATTAACAGCTGGTAGAAATGTCAGATTTGCAACCTAAAGCATTGTCTAGTAGACATTCAGGCCAAATGGAACTGAACTAGAAACTCCTATGTGAAAGGAAAGAGTGACTCATTTAAACATCCAAAGCTATTGCTATTGTCTGACTTTCAAAAAATTATTTCCAGTTGTTCTGTTTCCATCATATTTTGCATTCCCTTGTAATAAAGAATATACCATGACCATGTGGAGCAAAAAAAACCTGAACCACTTTCCCACCTCTGCTGCAAAAAGCACTTTGACATCCTGAATCCTGATGTGGGTTTTTGAAAAGGTGGCAACGCCACTATTACTTAATTTGGTAACGTAGGAATTTAAGGTTCCATTTATAAATATTTTGTTAGTATTTATTATGATTATCACACCAAGCTCCCTTCTCTGATAATTTATTTTAAAGCATGTCATATAATGCATCAGTAATACATTCACAAATAATGATATTTTAAAGCTATTTTTAAAAGCATATCACAATATGTAGATATTGTCAAAGCATGGTATACACTTAAGTAGAGTTTCATGGGTTATATTCATGTATGCTTTAAAGTCAAATGAATAATAATAAGGAATTTATAAATGGAACCTTAATATATATCCAGTTACCCTAATTTTAATATTTTGTATTGTTACCTATGTCTGCTGTATATAGAACTTCTTAAATAATGCTGAAGGGATACCAGTGTTTATTCTAAACAGATACAACAGTTACTCAGATATACAATAGTATAAACATGTTTAGCATTTTTTTTGTTTTGTTTAAGTTGTATGAGCTTTGTTCACAAAAAGAACACACGCTGGTGTGCTTTTGTTCATAGATGGGTTAACTGATGGAATAATACAGTACCTCTGCCTTCTTACAGGGCACAGTGAGCTAAATGTTGAATCAACTTTTTCTCCCTTGAAATAGATTTTGTTGCTATATTCATTAGAAGAGAATCCACAGTTGCTGGCTTTATTGCACATTTTATAGTGTTCATATTATCAAATCTTTTTGTTTTTGTTTTTGTTTCAATTTTGTTTAGTTTCTGGTTTGTGTTTTGGTTTTTGTTTGGTTTTTTTTTTTCCAGATCCTCTTCATGAGGTTTTTAAATGTTTCAGCTTCTTACTTTTGGTGTTTCAAATTGTATCCCCAAGTCCCAAGCAGAAGGGAGGGTGACTTCATTAAATGTAATGATTGTAATGGCTGTGTAGGGTTTTTTGTTTTGTCAGAGAGAGACATCAGTGTGGGGATGAAGATGTTAATATTTGGACTGTATCATAATTTTCCTATTCTATGTAAATTATTTATGATGTTTTTAAATTTCTTTTTCATTTTTTTCCTTGCAAGTGTGTGTGAGAGAGTGAGATCAATGAAATTTCATTTTGTTTTGCCAAAGATTGTAAATAATTATTTATTTGTTTACATGGACGGAACTTTATCATTTAACGTCCTGATTCATTTAGTCAGATCCTCATTTATATATATATATATATTTTAAGAAATTAATGATAGGAAATAAACTGTAAAAAGGTTTTATAAACAAAATTCTCTTTACCTTTTTTATAGTTAAAATGTTTCTTTAAAGAAAAGATTCCATTCCCCAAAGCCCTCAGTTAAATAAGCCTCTTGCCTTGCTATAAACCAGTCCATTTCAAGCAAACCCAGAAATCTGTTGCTTGGTTACAGATCACCAACTGTCTGCTAAGGTTGTAAACAACAGGTTTCCTAGTCTCTCTGACAAGACCTCATTCTCCATGAAGTCTTTATCTGGCAAACTATCCCAAGTTTTATTTATGGCATTACAACTGAGAAATTTTGGTCCTGCTTCTCTTTTTTTGCTGGACTCCTACACACGGTGCCTGTATTGTGTCTGAACAAATACACGATCCTGTTCTGTACCTGCTTTTGCTGTGAGTCCCATCTGAGTCGCTGGGATTTGTTGGTGTGAGCGAGGATTGCCTCCCTGCTGGAGAATTTCAGGAACCGGTGAATCGTCCGTCACTAACCAAACAGAATAAAATACAAGACAAAATTGCTAGCGTGAGAGATCTTTGCCATCAGTATGAACTGGTCGCAGGGAGGGGAATTTGAATTGGATTAGGAGAAGTAAGAACGCCCAGCATGCCAAAATGCCAGTTTTGAGGTGTGAACTCAAGTCATATTCTCTTATAAATATCCCAACTATTCACTCTTCTTGGCCTTACAAATATCCCAGCTATTTGATTTCCTTGGCTTTTGGTTCCAGTGTGAGTACTCAGAACATGACACAAGAAAGCCGTATAGTCTTCAGCACAATCTTTTGGTGAGTCCTTGAAAGTAATACAAATATTCAGTTTTGTAGAGAGTTGGGTCGCTTGCTTCTATTTATGCTGCGAGGACATCAATGATTAACGTTCTTCAGGTAACAGGGTGATCAAGATCTTGTTACCTGCGTTCTCAAGAGTCCCATTTAAATCTCTGGTTGTGATCTGCAAAAGAGTTTTGAGCATGAACACTTAGTGATGATGGGAAGGAAAAAAATACATCCCTTCATGGCAACCAAACAAAACCCTGGAAAATGGACCCAGGGAAATAAAATGACTGGAAACGTGAAGCCATAACAGCAGCACTTCAGTACTAGTACAGGGTCTTGAAGAAAAACAGAGAGGGAAGGACCAAAAAAGCAAATACTATGCTGTGAATGAGCAGGCTCACCTAAAGCAGTGACATCCTCTGACCTCTGTCCATTGTTCTAACTACAGGCTTTTGAAGGTATTCAGGGATATTTGAGTAATTTGGGAAAAAGACATATTTAAAAATTTTGCAGCCCCTGCCCTGCTGGTTCCCAGAGAGGTACGCGTGTGGAAGAAGGCAGCCTGAAATCTCTGCAGAGAGGCTGGTTTCTCATGAGGGGAAGCAGAGCAGGCGCTGATCCTGCCAGTGACTCCAGCGTGACACTGGGCAGAATATTCTTCATTTCCCTGAGCATCAGGTTCCCATCTACTAGAAGTCAATGATAAATTTCCTCCCCTTTACAAAACTTTTGATAAGTTTTATGTATCCTATTGTTTCTGGACCAGCCAAAAACCAGGAAATACTGAAATCCTGAACTCCCCCTGAAATTTAAGTTCAAATGAGACTTCTTGACTGCATTTAAAACATGGTTTTTTCGGATAAGCTTTGGATAAGCCTCTGAATTCTGAAAAGTTAAGCCGAACTCCCAGCATTTAAGGATTTGTCTGTTGTAAGAGTAACACCTTTACCATGGTTTCTTCTAGAAAGGAAGGGAAAAAAACCACCCAAGGATTATACCTGTGATTTCGCACATCAGGCAGCCCAAGTATTAGCATCATGAGTGCTAACATCTGTGTCTACTCCTCGCTAGCTACACAATGGCAGTAGAAGCTGAACAGACTCTCGCAGTCAGTGGGCCAATTCCTCATCTTGGTCAGCTCAGTGGGGGTTTTGCTGTGGACTTGATGTGATGTCTGGATGAGATTCAGGGTTCGGCTTGTGCTGCAAACGTCCATAGAGGAAGAGCTCTAATGCTCACATGGGAACATCTGCTCTCTAAAGGCATTTGAAAAATAACTAACGATGTAATAACTTGGCACGGTGGTGTTCCCAATGTGGAGAAGACCACCCTTGTAGATCAGGAAGGGGGACTTCGAAGCAAAAGAAACCTGGGACTGATTAAACCAAAGGTCCTTCTAATCCATTATCCTGCTTCTTGAAAGCTGCCTGTACCAAGTGCGCCAGAGGAAGGTGTAAAATCTTTATCACTAAAAATCATACATCAGCATACCTAAAAGGGAAAGATCACTCCTAGCCCCAGGTGGTTAGTGGGTGGTTTCTGCCCTCGTACCTGCATGGCTTCTTTTGCTTTAATGTAACTGCAAATATTCCTGTTATTCATATAAAGATCTCGGGTTTTTAATCCCACTTCTCGACCTCTTGAGAGTTCTGGAGATTGCTTATACACGATATACAGTAAAAATTTCCTTTTACCAATTTCAGGTCTGTTACTGTTTAATTTCATTGACAGGCTTTACTTCTCACAGACTTTGGGAAGGAGTGAATAGTATGTATTTCATCATAAAACTGCATGTTACAAGAAAAAAAAATTCTGCCTTGCTTTTACTGCTTGTGTGCATGTGTCTGTAATGGGTTCCTGCAGTACATCAAAAGTAGAAGAATTTCCTCTGCTTGCTGAAAAGATCAGCTGTCGTGTTGCAATTCTGTTTGGGTACAGGATGCTACCCATGGTTATGGCTTTCTCCAAGGCTCTCTGTCTAGCTCTTGCATTGACATGTCATGTATGTGTGCGCGTGCACACACACACACAGATCTACGTATTTTGCAAAGGATACATGTAATTCTGTGTTTGTCTTGTTCTTAGTGCTTTCCCTAGCCATCTGCTACTGGCCACACTTGGAATCAGGCAAATGATTTGGACAGATCTTTTGCAACCTTTTATCCTATCAATGATCATTGATCATTACCTGTTCATCTTGATATTTGTAGGGCTAGACGTGAATGTATTTGGTGTCGTTCCTTTAGAAGCAATTGACTTTCTTTTCAGACATCT